GTCACTGACACGTACCAAGTGGAAAAAATATTATTTTTCTTGATGTTAAATAATGAATCCATTTGCAAAACCCGGTGAGTTTTCGGAATCTAGACAAAGGTTTGTTGTTGTTACAGCAGCTGTGGACCGGGTCTAGACCTGAGAACACAGACCCACATTCTCTCTTAATCAGCAGCATGTCCCTACCACATCTGACCCCGAATCTTACAAAGCACAACGTTTATAAAGCCTGAGACGACCAGAGGACGGACATGTTAAAGTGAGTAGGTGACGACTCTTACTGAAGTGTGGTCAGATGTGCTTGATCTGATTTGCTCCATATTCACACATTTGTCACTTCGTCACAAGATCAGCAGCAAAAGGAACAGAAGCGTTTGCACTGAAGAGTCTTTCTAACACTGACTTTAACCACCAAACCAAACGAGTTTGACTTACAAGACCAAATGTGTTTCTGAAAGTTTTAATTGAATCAATATTTTTCCTGTGAGGGTCTGGTCACGAGCACAAGTCACATTCATTTACACAAAGACAGACTGAGAGAAATCTTTCCACAATCTAAATTTCCATCACAGAGGACGTCCAAGTGGGCGGTACGGGACTGCCTACTCAGTGTCCACGTTTAGTCAAGGAGGACGTCCAAGTGGGAAGACTTGATGACCCGCCCGCCCTGCAGCCTTCTCACTGAAACTCACACATGTTTAATGGACGTTGGTCCTATGTGGTGCTGTCAGGAAGACGTCCCACTTTTGGCCTGTCAACATGTGCAGTACTCTAGAGTCAGAATAAGAGCGCAGAGGAGGAAGACGCGGCCGTGGCGTTTTGGAGAACGTCACTGACACGTACCAAGTGGAGTGTGTTTGCGGTACAGGCGCAGAGGAGTTTGGCCGCGGGGCTGGAGTTCACTGTGGACTCAACTTGCGGCTCATTTCATAAACCCATGGAGAATGTTTTCAACAGATGATCACAGCTGAAGTGGCCGAGCTCTTTATTCCAACATGGACAACAGCCTGGCATCATTTTATTGTCTTTTCTTTGTGTCTGCGCCGCGCATAAAGAATGGAACAAGGATCATGTTTAAACTCCAAACTGAACCAGGACGTGAGCACAAAAACTCTTCTGATACTTGGGAGCCACAAAACTCATGCTCCTTGAATTCACACGAGCTGTTCTGAGTTTATGTCAAAAAACATCACATCGTGTTGGAGATTTGACTAAAGGAAAATCCAAGTAAAGGTTCAGAGTCTGAAAAAAGAGCTGCGCCACAGAGACACACGGTGAACTTTTACGCACGGGACGTCAGTTTGTCTGAACAGATCTTCACGGTTCAAACTCAAATGTTTCACTGTGTTTCTTTAATAAACATGATTTTGGTTCACTTTCTTTTGCCTCATTGTTGGAGTTGTTCTCTTTTCCCGCTCGGCTCTAAGGCTCGAAGTAATAATCTGAATGTTGGGACGCACTTCTTTTATCCACTCCCAACTTTTCCTGCTCTTTTTCTTTTGTAAAAACACACACACAAAACATGAATTTTATAACCAATCACATGTTTCAGATTTGAATTTGTAGTTTATTATTTTTTCTTCAGTCAGTGAACATAATCATGAATCTTCTTACAATGATTTAACACACAAATGATAGACATGACTAAAGTTGTTCTACTTCCCCCAGACAATCACAATGACAAACTCAGCAGTCACAATATTCACCACCTCATTCTGTCACTTTGTGCTTTTCGGTCTGAACAGAATGTGCTTCACTTATTCAATAAAAACACAAACCAAACCAAGGTAAAAGTCATTTCATCACATTTGGCTGCATGTTGGCTTTTCCCATATTTGAGCAAAGATTCACACACCCTCCTCTGAGTCCATTGTCCACCGCGTTTTTTAATTCCTCCAGAGAAAAAATCACATCCAAACTGCTGTGAAGCCAAAAGCGCGTGAGCCGTCACGTCCATCAGTGTTTCAGACTTTTATGAGCTGGACAAATCATGAATCCAAAGTAAAAACGCCCAGTCACCGATGTGCGCGAGAACTGTGGAAATCCCCGAGCGAGAGGGTTTTTAAAAAACCTGTGGGAGGAGACACAGATGAGGGAGGAAAAGAGAGAGAGTCAGCCTGGGGACGCTCCAACACCAGCTGTTTATTCACTCCCTCCTGTGATTTGTTTTAGGCTCAGATTTGGACTCATTCTAGACTGTGAGCTGCTGATGTGCAGATGGAAGCAGGACAGTGAATCTGTTGATCCCACATAAAACTTTCTCCCATAAATCAACAGAAATCTCTGCACCTCTGTCATTTGTCCAGGCTTCTTCATCTCTGTTAAATCATTGTAAGAAGATTCATGATTATGTTCACTGACTCAAGAAAAAAATAAACTAAAAACTGAAATTTGAAACACTACATTCTTTATCAATTCTGTTCAGACAAACTGACGTCCCGTGCGTAAAAGTTCACCGTGTGTCTCTGTGGCGCAGCTCTTTTTTTCAGACTCTGAACCTTTACTTGGATTTTCCTTTAGTCAAATCTCCAACACGATGTGATGTTTTTTGACATAAACTCAGAACAGCTCGTGTGAATTCAAGGAGCATGAGTTGTGTGGCTCCCAAGTATCAGAAGAGTTTTGTGCTCACGTCCTGGTTCAGTTTGGAGTTTAAACATGATCCTTGTTCCATTCTTTACGCGCGGCGCAGACACAAGAAAAAGACAATGAAATGATGCCAGGCTGTTGTCCATGTTGGAATAAAGAGCTCGGCCACTTCAGCTGTGATCATCTGTTGAAAACATTCTCCATGGGTTTATGGAATGAGCCGCAAGTTGAGTCCACAGTGAACTCCAGCCCCGCGGCCAAACTCCTCTGCGCCTGTACCGCAAACACACTCCACTTGGTACGTGTCAGTGACGTTCTCCAAAACGCCGCGTCTTCCTCCTCTGCGCTCTGATTATTATTAGTACCACATAGGCCCAAGGTCCATTAAACTCGTGTATATGTGTGTGTCATTTTAATGAAAAAGGCTGGATGAAAAGCAGCAGCTCTTTAAACAGACCTGATGGAGCAGATTTGTACAAAGGCCAGTGAGACAGAGTCTGTGGAGAGGGGCGTGGCTCTGTTTTCAGTGATATTTATTTATTTATTTATTTATTTGAGACAGGGACAGTGCACATTTTTTGCATGAACCTTAACAGGAGAGATGTTTGTACATCAGGTTGTAGCATCAGGTTCTCCTCGAGTCTCTGACAGGTTCATTGTTTGTATTTAAATATTAATTTGACTATGAACTGTTCTTGGAGACTGATGTAGGAGAAAACTCACCCAGACACGATGGGAAAGATGAACACTCCACACACGAAACGTCACACCTGGAACCTCCTTGTGAGGCACGAGTGCTCGTCACTCAGGCGCCGTGCCGCACTGTTCTGACCAATGAGAGAGCGAAGTCTGTGTCAGGGGGCGTGGCCTGGTCGTGACGTTAAAATCTCCTGAACATAGTATAAAAACTCTGGAGCTCCATAACGTTTCTTTGCCATTGTAGAAAAGTGCTGCCTTTGGTCTCTGTTTACAGGATTGTTACACAACGGTAATTATTCTTTTTATTTTCATCCTTTATTAATGACATTAAGACATTTTCTTTAATTCAGTGGTTTTTGGAAGTTGGTTTAGTTTGGTGATTTGATTCAAACATGCTCCTGAACAAAGCCTCAGGTGCTCACATCATTTAGAACATTTTGGCTCCTGAGAGCCACAGACTGAGGCTCTGAGCTGCTCAGATGGTCAAACCTGCTCTGGGAGAGCACTGATCAGTTTGGCTCAGAGGAATTCTTTCTGTAGAGAAATGTGCCAAAGTGACTGGGAAAAATAAAACATAAAAAATCCTTTGGTGTTCAGAAAAAAAGAGCAAACAAGACTGAGTGGCTCATATCGGCCTAAGAAATCATCCCGAGTTTGCAGTGAACATTTTGTATGTGAAGCAACAACAAAACAAATTCTCTGTAAACTCGGGATGATTTCTTAGTCAGACAAATGTTTCCTTTTTGGTTCTTCCTGTGGATCAATCCTGCCCATCACCTTCACCTTTCACTATTTTTCAATTCCGTTGGGAAGAGAAACAGTTTGAACGGAGGTTTGAGTCACACACGTCTGATTCACTTTTGTATTTATGAAGTTCGCAAACAAATTCCTCGAGTCGTTTTCCGCTGTTTGGATCCAACAACCAAACAATTAACGATGTCCGAATCCGAAAACTAAAATATGACAATATCAGAACCAGAAACAAAAGTGAAATGGTTCAAAAGACTTGAAAAGATCAGGAAATTAGTCTTTCCATTGACTTCCATTATAAACTCATTATAAACTCATTTATTTTTGTTCTTGTTGTTAACTTTCTCTCTGAGCAGTTCATTCACTTGTATTTTTATTTATTTATTTATTAGGTATTTAACACAGGATTTAATAAGATTCTATTCGTTCTACTTAAATAACTCGACCGCACCGTGTCACGTGACCAGAGCAAAACCTGTAAAACTCACTGAATAAACATGAACGTTTCTACAAATATAAAATGTTCAGGTGTTTTTATGTGTCACAGGCAGAAATAAAACATGTGGATAATAAAAACTGAGTGAATCCTGTTTCTGTTGAGGTGTTTAGGCTGAACATGAGACTAAATAAATAAATAAATGCACAGACTCAAACATTTTTAGGTGATTGGATCATTTTTAATTCCATTTCTTTACTTGAACAGATTTTGCTGGATTTGTCCTGATGTAAATTCACAGCTCTGATAAAAGTGCAATGTGCTAAAACAGCGACAAATTTAACACTTTTTGTTGTAACATGAGTTTTATTTGATTAAAATGCATTTCACTGCTTAAATAAAGTTCGTAAAAGTGTAAGTTGTGGTGCATTGAGAGCGCGGAGGACGCTGGAGCAGCACTGAGTGGGTCCAGTTCGAGAGTTTGTGACATTTCGTGCAGTCATCAGCAGTAGCATAAACTGCAGTAACAGGACAGAAATACAAACCTGCGCACAGATCTGGCCCCGCCTTTTCTGAAGCTACGCTCTTCTTCTCGGAAAAAGAACCAGGAATGACTCAGAGAACAGGAACTACATACCAGAGACACGAAAAGAGGGAATTCTTTCAAGACAAATATCCAACATCCAACATGAAACCAACTTCACCGAACGTGTGTCTTCTGATGAAATCGGACACATTTAATGATCCTGGAAGAAAATGTCGTGTTCTGTTGAACTGTCATGGCGCTGGATCTGTAATCTCCAAACCAACAATGGCGACAGACTTTTGTCAGATGGACTCAAACAGCTCAGCCGAGAAGAGACAAGAAGAGACAAGAATATATTTATATTTTTTGGCATTTCTTCGGTGAACAAACAACCTGAAAACAACATGACGCATGACTGATGGACATTACTGCTCTTTGTGGAGGAACAGGACTGTGCGTTTGCTGCGTTCCTGCCCCGAAATATGAGGCACATGAGGAGGATTATGCGGCCTCATCCTGGTAACATAACTCAGGTGTGTTTTTTTTCTAACTAATTATTTTAATCAATAGGTTTAATTATTACAGTCGATATATGGAGCACTTTGTGATGTTCAAATATTTCCTTGAGATAGAAGTATTTCTTTGTTTTGCGGTTTGTTTCCTTGTTTCAAGTTTCTCACTTCACGTTTGGCTTCCGATGTTGAACTCTGCTGTGTGCGCTGTTCTCTGCCTGTACTGAGAAGAAGAATTGTTAGAAAAATATGTAGCAGGAGGGAGGAGCACCGACAGCGTCAGACGCTGCGTGCCAACGAGCGTCTGACGACTAACCCAGAACTAACCAGAAAACTAACCCAGGACTAAACCAGGACTAAACCAGGACTAAACCAGGACTAAACCAGAACTAAACCAGGACTAAACCAGGACTAAACCAGGACTAAACCAGAACCAGGACTCACTGTCGAAATGTGCTCGGGGGTTCTTCCGTGTCGACCCGAGTGTCCGCGGGTGAAAGGACCGGTGCAGAGCTCGGAGAAGTGTACGTGCAGCCGAGCCTTTCGGACACCTGCTCCGCGGGGCTCAGGGTTCACGTTCTCTCTCTCCAAGATTAGACCTGGTTTAGTCCTGGTTTAGACCTGGTTTAGTCCTGGTTTAGTCCTGGTTTAGACCTGGTTTAGACCTGGTTTAGTCCTGGTTTAGTCCTGGTTTAGTCCTGGTTTAGTCCTGGTTTAGTCCTGGTTTAGACCTGGTTTAGACCTGAATTAGTTCTGACCCGCCCTTAAAATTCCAGAACGTTAAAACTCGCCTGTTTCAGTGACTATTTGTCCGTATCCTTCGGTGCAGGACTCAGTATCAACATATAAACGTATCGGCCTTATTACCTGGACGGACATATGATTTTAATCACACTCAGAATGTTTGTTAATTACACGTGATTTTACCTTATTGAGGGAAAAAAACAAACAAACAAAAAAAACGGAGGTGTTTAATGTGTGTGCTAATAGATTTAAACCTCATTAAACGCAAATGCGTTGCAGTTGTACTTAATTCATAAAACACTTAATACACATTCTGACTTAATACATTTTAACATAAAATAAATGATAAAAAGCAAGTACAAAATGTGACGTCTGAAAACAGTGAGAAGCTGTGCAGCGTCTCTCACATTCTGGTGTGAATTGAAACTTTGAAATTTCCGCGCACGCGCAGCTCCACCTACAGGAAAGTCAGTTTGACTCAGACCCTGTCAGGAGGATCACACTGGGACTTATTAATTATTAATCCAGGACTTTTAAATCAACATCAGACCAACACTTTTGCTTTGCTTTCAGGCAACACTGTTTGAACATGTTTAATTAGTTTTAATGTCTCCTCTGCTTCTCTCCTGATATTCTACATAATAACAAGACTGACATTATAGAATGGCTTTGACCAGCATTTGATCCATCTTTCATTGCCTTATTCATATCAATGACACCAAACAGGACAAAAAAAAAAAAAAAAAAAAGAAAGTGTTGGTAAGCTGCAATTAACAAGTTTATTCTAACTTTATTAATTAATTTTAAGATTTTTAAGAAATATGAACATGTGAACATTTGAGGGCAGAAGGACAGATCTGTGAGCAGTCACAATGTTTCCTGTTGTTAAAAATACTGTTGGTACTGAGGCTGTAGATCACTCTTCTATATTCTGTGGTCTATTTGATTGTTTCTTGAGCCTTAGAGCGGCTGTAAAAACTTCACGCAGAGTTTTTTGTTTGTTTGTTTTTTGTCTCGACTTGATTTTCTGGACACATGAAATGTTTCTGCGTGTTGGTTTATTAAGTTTATTAAGTGACTTCTCATGTTGTTGTGTTTCCTGCACGGTGCACTGACAGTGGCTGCACTTTCTGTCACCTTTTCTCTTTTCTCGTTTCGTGTTACGATAAAACCAAAATGCTTTTACATCTAAAAGCTGCTGGAGTGTCCTTAAACTGCTTTTACACATAGCCAAGCTCGGTCTTCCGGGCCCCACACCTCCGCTAAATCTTCCCCCGCTGTGTTTTTCCTCTCAATGGCTGAACGGGCGCAGCCGCAAAGGATTATGGTCCATGTAGTTTACTGCGCTCTGCGCCACAGGAGAGACTGAAAATTCTTATTTTAGTGTAAAGACACAGAGTTTAATTCCGTGACGAGACCACGATGATATCGTGACATCGTCAGTATCGTCAGTATCGTCAAAGCCTCGTTAGACCGCGGCGGGGTTTTTATTTACGGTCTAAAACCTCAACCGCGGCCGATGGCAGCACCTCGTGTTGCCAGATCGAGCGGAAATCACTTAAACCAATCACGTTAAAAAACAAAACAAAAACGTTTTGTCACAGAAAACTTTTAATCTTTGAATAAACGAATGTGATCCACTGTGGGGCTTTTTAAAAAACAATGCCAGGACTGAGAAAACATTTAATATAAAACCTTTGGTCAAATAGCGTTTTCATGTGACCATGTCTGCAGCCGGGTGTGATCACTGTATCTTTAAATTGGAACAGCATTTATTTATTAATTAATTAAATGAAATGTATGATTGGTGTGAAAATAAAATAAAAAACAAACAAACACCTAAACTTGTTGAAAGTCACCCAGATATTATAAAGACTTCCTCTCCTGCCTGAATGGGGGCAGGCACTGGCCCAATCTGGCAACCTGTGCCGGGTTGTTCTTCCGTGTTCCGGCTGCTCCGTGTCTCATGCCGCAGAGCTAAAAAACAATAATAACAGTAGATTTTGGAGACATTAAAGTGTCCGTGTGGACTGACAGGACACCGACTGTTTCCCTAAGGCTGGATTTCGTGGAATTGTTCTGTATTTAAGGTATTTTATTACAAAAGAAGAACTTACACGCTATTTTTACCTTAGCTTAGCTTAGTTTAGCTTATCTTAGCTTAGCATGGCAACAGCTCCGGCTCTTTAACGACAGATAAATATTGACTGACTTGTGATATTTTATGTTATTTTGTCTTTAAATGCTCCGTACTGCCCACGCGCTTCTGTGAACCTGTTGTCATGTTGATTATATCCAAATATTTGATAGATTTTTGTGTGTTTTTCCCGCAGGACGTTGAGGATGTTGAAGTTTCAGTTGCTCCTGGTGCTTCTCTTCGTTCTTCTGTGTTTCTCTGGTGAGTTTAACAATAATTCAGTATTTGTCTCTGTGACATCTGTCCTCTGCTCACTGTCAGGGAGGTTTTATTGTTTAGTCTGAAATGTTCCACAGTGTGGCATTAAATGTGTTCATATTCATGGAGATTTAGTGGGTTTTAGTGTTGATTTGACCTCGCTCAGGGTAAAAAGGTTTTTAAGAGATTTTACAATGTAAATTATGAGAATAAATGCAAGATGGAGAAGTTAAAGACAAACTGTTGAACATTCTGTGTAAAGCATCTCCATGGAAACGAGCAGAAATGTTCCAGCCTCACGGTCGTTCATCCAGGTGTTCAGTCCTCGTGTGGGGTTTTGTTCGGTTTGGGGAAGTACGAGGAAAACGTTCAACAGCAGCTCAAAGGAAAGAGTGACATGACTGGAGGAGACGCTGAAATACTGAAGTCTGGACAAAGTAAAACTCTGTGTACCTGCCGATAATGTCAGTGTATTTGTTTTCATGGAAATAAGTGAGAAAATCATTATTTTATTTGTTCAAATATTACAGTGTGTCAGAACAACACAGTTATTCATTTTATATTTTATTTGTGAAAACATTTACCTTTGAGTTATGTGACCTTTTACCTGCCCCGGAAGTAAACAGAGTGAGAGAAATAGTAGCTGCGAAAAAGAGAAAAAGACGATAGAGAGAAACACAGAAAAATGTGTCAAGAAAAACATCCAAATTAAAGAAACACTGTTTAACTCCCGCTGGTGATAGGCGAACACAGTAAATACTGTTTTCAATTCTGCATTTATTTAAAGGTATTTATGTAAATCTGAGACATTTTCTCTGTCTGTCCTTGTTTTAGTTTTCACGGTGTTTCAATGTGTTGATGAAGTTTAGATTACTGTATTTTCCAGACTATAGTTCGTGCTCTTAAACCTCCAACCCATCAAAAAACGACCTCGGAGACAATCCAGAGCACAAAAAACCACCGTGTTTCCTGTGCTGCTGATCTCACATATAACTTCAACAGCAGTTCCTTAAATTTGATTAAATTTGGGCAGTTTTGAAACACTGATGTGGATAATCTACTTTACAACTTTAAGTGCTATTTGAGCGCCAAACGAAACAAAGCTGAACAGTTTCAGAGCGAACAGCACAAACCCTCATGATTATTCCTGTGGATCCAAGTGTGGATCACTGTAGAGAGAAAATCTACAGTTTTATCATATAATAGAACCAAAGAGAGTGAATGCACCTGTACGACGACCAGGTTAATCGTCTTTAGCCTCCTGTTGCTTCCTGATGTTTTGATTTTCAGTTTAAAGTCGTTTGTGGAATTATTTTGGAAGAATTTGATCAGTTGAGTGAAGCTGCTCATTACTTTCCAGTGAAGTTTTCCCCTTCGTAAATACTCGCGGTGCTGAGTAATTCACCTGGTGAAAAATATCACAGCAGTCGTGAGAACAGTGCACCTTTACTGTTCCTGTGCCACACACTCGTCCTACAGCTGGAGGACGCAGCACGAGGCTGTGCAAAGGCTCCGGACCAGAGAGAAGTTTAGTGTCAGGATTATCATGACCAAAATAAATACGTTTAATGATTATATCATTATAATTATGAAAGGTATTTTAATAATATCATAGTATCAAAATTATAATTGTAATTATGAATAAGTCGTTTATTTAAGCAAGTCATAGTGTTGGACTTTGTTATAAGTGAAAACCCTGGATCAGTATCTGCACATTCTGCTGATAAAATGGAGATTATTTTTGTTGGCGATTCTCACGATTCTATAAAATGTCCCACAAACGATTATTGTTTATTTATCGTGATGAACCAAAGTGTCTCTGATGAGCTCGTGTCTTTTATCAGAGACGTCCACAGTCTCCGCTCAGTCACAACATGGTGTGGAGTAAAGTTCAGACGAGGGTGGGACAGGACTGGAGCAGAGTTGGGCAGTGTCCAAATTTTGACCAACTCTCTTGTGGCCGGACTTACCGTCTTGTGGAACATCATCTCCTCGCACAGTTAAAAGAAACATTCTAGACACTATTAGTTTTAAAACGTGAAACATTAAACTGAAAATACAACCACACTTTGATTTGTGCTGAACAAACACATTTATGTATCAATATATTATAATATTATATCAGGTCTTTATGCACTGCAGGTTTTTTAATGACGGTAATGAAACTGATACTGTTGATACTTGTTGATACTGTGGGAAACTGTAATACTGTAATAAATTAGAATTTGTGCGTCAAATTTCACAAACTTAAAGTCTAATTTGTGAAATCGGTATCGAAAGCCACAGTTTTCCCTGATGATCCAGCGTTAGACTTTTATCTCCTGATATTTTCATAGTACTGAGGCCTGACAGTCTGACACTCATCCTGAGCAGCTCCTCACTCAGAAAGGGCTGGATTGTGTTAAAGACTCTGAAGAAAAACAAAATCCTAAATGTAACATGTTTATGTCTCTGCATTTATATGTCATATATTTGTACATGTGTATAATCTCTGTGTGTTTGTGTAAAGGTGCCGTGGATTCGTGCGTCGTCAAGAAGCACGAGAACGACTCAGGGACTCTGGAGTTTAACTTCCCTCCTCCAAACCTGTCCTCCTGTGCATCTTGTGAACTCCAATCCAGCCTGAACAGTGTCAGAACCCATCAGGGAGTTTCTTCCAGAGTCCACATCACAATCACAGTTTCAGAGAGACAGACAGAGTTCAGACTCACCCAGAGGTAAAGAAGAGACAGATTACCAGAACAAGCACTTCAGAGGCCGAGTCCAAGCCAATGTAACCGCCCTGAGAGACGGGGTGTTCAAGACTCACATCTCCCGCCTCCTCCTGGGAGACTCAGGCCTGTACTCCTGCATCTTCTACAGCAGCGCAGGAGGTCCGAAAAACACCAGCGTCTGTCGTCTGTCTGTGTCCGGTCAGAGCTCACACCACTCCACTGTTCTAACTGTAAAAACTTGAACACATTATTCCTCTGCAGTCAAACTGAAACTTCTCATCCTTCTCTCTGCAGCTGCTCCTGAATCCACACAAGAACCACCACAAGAACCACCAGAACCACGAAGAACCACCAGAAGAACTCACGCTTTGACTGGACTGTGGATTGTGCTGGGGCTCGTGGGGATCATGGTGTTAATAGTGTTTTTATTGGTCTGGTTCAAGTCCAGGTCTGGTTCAGGTTTCAGGTCTCAGGTCTGGTTCAGGTCAGATCCTAAAAACCCTCCACAGAACCAGAGTGAAGTGATCTAACTGCTGCTCTGTTCTCGTCGTGTTGTGGAAAGGCTCCTGAGTCGTTAACTCTTTCCCCCATGAAGACGACATTTGACGACCCCTCGTGTTTCCTTAATCACGTCTTTTGAAACCTCCGCTGTTTCACTAAAGACGTGATTTGACGAACATTAGAAACGACTCGGTTTTTCACATTTAAACAGAGACTGTGATTGGTCGGGGCCACTACAACCCACACTAGACGGACCAATAGGATTCAAGGAGATGTTTTCGCCATTAATCGAAGTAGTGACAATTGTAGCTTCCAGAAAAAACACAACACGAAACACGAGCAATAGAAAGATCACGACGCTGCGGCGCAGTTTTAGAAATAATGAGGAGCGGACGTATTTTATGGATAAGTTTAGAGAAAGTGACTTTTATAGATTTCAAAGTGATGATGAAGTTGATTATAAAGTGGAAACAGCGACGGAATTTCAGAAAGTGAAACTCATGAAGATGAGAATGCAGCTGATGCGTCTGTGTGGAGTCCTGCGATGTCCAAACAAACTATCCAGGACTTTATACTCGATTATGAACCAAAATTGCCCTGAAATCTGGATGTTGCTCAGACGAGTCCTTTAAAATATTTCAGTCTTTTTTTTCCAAGATGCGACGTATAACAGAATCACTACAGAAACAAACACTTATGTGGAGCTCTGCACACTCGAGAAAATAACCAAGATGATAAATACTGAACACACACTGACGGGGAAGAGTTTTAGTTTTATATTATTATATTATAATAAGATAAATGAGTTGAATAAGTTAAATGGAAAAAATGAATTAGACACACACAGGTGAACAACAGGTAAAAACAGGTAAAAACAGGTAAAAACAGGTAAAAACAGGTGAACACTTGGCTTCACTGTATCTGCTGATATGAAATCTGTTTAAATACTTTGACAAAGTATATTTAATTTTTTTTATGAAAATGGTGCTCAGAACATGCAGATATCAGATGCTGAATATAGTTTTTTTTTTTTTTTTTTTTTTTCGATTTTGCACCTGACCAGGTAAACTCTCATGTTCAATGAGCTGAACACGCAGCAACAACAACGTGCCTTACCGTAACTCTGCAGGAGACTCTCTCTGCCTCTGCGTCCCACAGATCAGTGTGTGGAGGCAAAACAACTTTCACCAGCTGAACTCGGACCAGACACAAAGAGACAGAGTCAGCATCACCTCCAGTCTCTCTCTGTCTCTCTCCAAAACCTTCAAATCAGGCGAGAAATGTAGGAGTAATAATAATGGACTCAGTAGTTTATTTTCTTCGGTCAATTAACATAATCCTGCATTATATAACAATGATTTAACAAAAAACAATTTATGCAGTTTAATAAGGTTATGAACTTTAACATCTGCAGCTTTTTACCATCTAAAAAACCAGCAGAAATCAAAGGTTTACTGTCTAGAGCAGAGTTTGAGAGACTTATCCAAGTGTTTGTCTCCAGTAGGTTAGATACTGTAAGAGTCTCTCACTGGTCTCTCCAAACGAGCTGAACATCCAGAACACTGGATCTGGATCTGGATCAGACCAGGACTAGACCAGGATCCAACCAGGACCAGGACCAGACCAGGACCAGAAGACCAGCCAGTGTTTTCAGTTTTATGCAACTAAAACCTGGAAGAGTCTGAACATGTGAAGATTCTGTTTTGACTCCAAACGGTTTTATTTATCTGTGTTTGACTCAAAGGTTTTCACTCTGCACTTTTCTCTTTTCATTTCTCTCTCGCTTTAACTTTATGATGATTATTTATATTCTGATTTCTTTGCAATGTGATTTGAATGTATTTGTTATTCTGTAAAGCTTTGTGTAGGAGTTTTTCAAATAAAATTGCTGAAAAACTGAAAAGGGTTTTGTTGAACCGCACAGATCAGATCACGGGTTCACCTGTCGGAGTTCACATGAATCAGTTGTTTCTGGTCAGATTGTGTTAAAATAAAACTCAGATTAAAGTCTAATTTAACAGAGCGTCAGACAGAGCAGTGCCTCCAGTTAGCGTCACACCCGGGACTGTGGAGGACGTCGACTGTGAAGTGTCACGACGGTGATGGACCAAAGGGAAGCAGAGAAATCAGATTTATTGTCGTAATAAATGAACAAAATAAACAAATAAAAAGTCGCTTTGTCATTTTGATGCAACATAAAGAAAGAATAATAAAAGTAAAATACAAAATATGATCAAATATAAACAATGTTAAAGCTGCACTGTGTAACTTTTCTAATGGAGGGTCCGTCACCTGCTCGTCTGGAACGGTCCATGTTCCGTTTGTTTTTTTTGAGTTTCAATTAAGAACGAAAAACCATAAAATGTGGAAACAGTTTATTTCATTTTTCCCTTTTAGTGTCAAACAAAAAAAACAGATTTCGACCTCGATTTCCAATATTTAATTTAAAGTTTATTTTAAAATTACACCAATCACTTTATTTGAAGTTCTGCTGATGAAGATTCACCTGAAAAACGAATGTGTTTTATTCTCATTATAGGTGCTGAGTTTTTTGATTGTTTTTTTATTTGAAATAAACTTGAAATTAAATATCGGAAATAGGTCCGTGTACCGTTTGTTCTTTTGAGTTTCAATTAAGAACAAAAAAACAATAAAATGTGAAAACAGTTTATTTCATTTTACCGTTTTAGCGTCAAAAAAAAAAAAAAGATTTCCACCTCGATTTTCAATATTTAATTTTAAATTTTATTTAAAAACACACAGTGATGAAAAAAAAGTTGCACAGTGCATCTTTAAACGTGGTAAAACAAGGTAAAAACACAGGATTGTAAACGTAAGAACAGTAATTATACAAACAGATGCTCTGGCTCCATCTAGTGGTGAGGAGAGGAACAGCAGGTCATTGTCCCGTTTCACTCACGTAAACCGTGTATCATTCGTTTTTCAATATAAAATCAAAAATAAGAAAATGAAAAAATATTTTTCTTCATTATTTGCTCCAAAACCAAAATGAAAAAAAAACAGATAACATTTATTTATTTTTTTTTTTTCGTTTTTCAATTTTGTGTTTAAATGAAAAATGGAAAGAACGGATAATGGACTGAACCAGGACTGAAACCATATCCGGGACCAGACCGGAACCGAGACCAGGACTGAGTCAGGGACCAGGACCAGGACCAGGACTGAGACCGGGATGAGGCCAGGACCAGATTAGGACCAGACTGTCATAGAAACCGGGACCTAATCGGGACCACACCGGGACCACACAAGGACTGAAAGGTTTAGTCCTGGTCTAGTCCTGGTTAGTCCTGGTCTAGTCCTGGTTCAGTCCTGGTTCAGTCCATTATCCGTTCTTTCCATTTTTCATTTAAACACAAAATCGAAAAACGAAAAAAAAATTTATAAATTGTTATCTGTTTTTTTCTCTATTCACCACTAGATGGAGCCAGAGCATCTGTTTGTATAATTACTGTTCTTACGTTTACAATCCTGTGTTTTTACCTTGTTTTACCACGTTAAAGATGCACTTGCAACTTTTCTTTTACATCGACTGTTTTTTTAAAATACATTTTAAATTAAATATTGAAAATCGAGGTGGAAATCTTTTTTTTTTTGACGCTAAAACGGTAAAATGAAATAAACTGTTTTCACATTTGATTGTTTTTTTTGTTCTTAATCAAAACTCAAAAGAACAAACGGTACACGGTCCTATTTCCGATATTTAATTTCAAGTTTATTTCAAATAAAAACCAATAAAAAAAAAAAAAAAACTCAGCACCTATAATGAGAATAAAACACGTTCGTCGACAAAACTGCAAAGATTTTTCAGGTGAATCCTTCATCAGCAGAACTTCAAATAAAGTGATCGGTGTAATTTTGAAATAAAACTTTAAATTAAATATTGGAAATCGAGGTCGAAATCTGTTTTTTGTTTGACACTAAAAGGGAAAAATGAAATAAACTGTTTCCACATTTTATGGTTTTTTCGTTCTTAATTGAAACTCAAAAAAAAACGAACGGAACATGGACCGTTCCAGACGAGCAGGTGACGGACCCTCCATTAGAAAAGTTACACAGTGCAGCTTTAACATTGTTTATATTTGATCATATTTTGTATTTACTTTTATTATTCTTTGTTTATGTTGCATCAAAATGACAAAGCGACTTTTTATTTTGTTTATTTTGTTCATTTACAACGACAATAAAACTGTTTCTGATTTCTCTGCTTCCCTTTGGTCCATCACCGTCGTGACACTTCACAGTCGACGTCCTCCACAGTCCCGGGTGTGACGCTAACTGGAGGCACTGCTCTGTCTGACGCTCTGTTAAAATAAAACTCAGATTAAAGTCTAATTTAACACAATCTGACCAGAAACAACTGATTCATGTGAACTCCGACAGGTGAACACGTGATCTGATCTGTGCGGTTCAACAAAACCCTTTTCAGTTTTTCAGCAATTTTATTTGAAAAACTCCTACACAAAGCTTTACAAAATGTTTTACAGAATAACAAATACATTCAAATCACATTGCAAAGAAAATCAGAATATAAATAATCATCATAAAGTTAAAGCGAGAGAGAAATGAAAAGAGAAAAGTGCAGAGTGAAAACCTTCGAGTCAAACACAGATAAATAAAACCGTTTGGAGTCAAAACAGAATCTTCACATGTTCAGACTCTTCCAGGTTTTAGTTGCATAAAACTGAAACACTGGCTGTTTTTGGTCCTGGTCTGGTCCTGGTCTGGTCCTGGTCTGGTCCTGCTTTGGTCCTGGTCCTGGTCCTGGTCTGGTCTGGTCCTGCTGGTCCTGCTCTGGTCTGGTCCTGGTCCTGGTCCTGGTCTGGTCCTGGTCCTGGTCTTTGGTCCTGGTCTGGTCCTGGTCTGGTCCTGGTCTGGTCCCTGAGTTCCTCACAGTGAAAGATGATTCATGTGGCACTAAAACGTCACAGATGGACTTTGGTCACTTTAACGTCTCTGAGCCACAGGGGTAAAGACCTGAGACCTGATCCTGATCCTGGTCCAGATCCAGATCCAGATCCAGATCCAGATCCAGTGTTCTGGATGTTCAGCTCGTTTGGAGAGACCAGTGAGAGACTCTTACAGTATCTAACCTACTGGAGACAAACACTTGGATAAGTCTCTCAAACTCTGCTCTAGACAGTAAACCTTTGATTTTTGCTGGTTTTTTTAGATGGTAAAAAGCTGCAGATGTTAAAGTTCATAACCTTATTAAACTGCATAAATTGTTTTTTGTTAAATCATTGTTATATAATGCAGGATTATGTTAAATGACCAAAGAAAATAAACTACTGAGTCCATTATTATTACTCCTACATTTCTCGCCTGATTTGAAGGTTTTGGAGAGAGACAGAGAGAGACTGGAGGTGATGCTGACTCTGTCTCTTTGTGTCTGGTCCGAGTTCAGCTGGTGAAAGTTGTTTTGCCTCCACACACTGATCTGTGGGACGCAGAGGCAGAGAGAGTCTCCTGCAGAGTTACGGTAAGGCACGTTGTTGTTGCTGCGTGTTCACGACTGCTCAGATGATTTGATCAAAGGTAAAAAATAATGGAATAAAAGTCTGGATTTGTCCAGAAAACAGCAAAGATTTTTCAGGTGAGTCCTTCAGCAGCAGAACTTCAAATAAAGTGATTGGTGTTTCTCTTCACACTCCGGGTTTGGTTTGTGTTTTCACCTGGACTTAATGAAGACGACATTTGACGACCCCTCGTGTTTCCTTAATGACGACTTTTGACTCCTCCGCTGTTTCACTAAAGACGTGATTTGACGACCATTAGAAACGACTCGGTTTTTCACATTTAAACAGTGTAGAACAACAAGTGTAGAACTAGTCATATATGTGTGTGTTGTTCCTAGTCGACGTCCAGGGGGAAATAGTTCTTTCCCCCTGGACGTCGACTAGGAACAACACACACATATGTTACTAGTTCTACACTTAGAGCATAACTGCATAAAATAAAACAAACTTCTACGAATGATTATAAATGATTTTTACACTCATGAACTTCATTGTAACACAGACATATTTGTATCTCTGGAAACTTCAGACTCTGAACTCTTCATTTCTGGATGTTTAAATGTGATTCGACTCATTTACAGGTTTATAACAGCTCACTGAACATGAGAGTTTACCTGCTCAGTGCAAAATCGAAAACAAAAAAAAAAACTATATTCAGCGTCTGATATCTGCATGTTCTGAGCACCATTTTCATAAAAAAAATTTAAAATATACTTTGTCAAAGTATTTAAACAGATTTCATATCAGCAGATACAGTGAAGCCAAGTGTGCACCTGTTTTTACCTGTTTTTACCTGTTGTTCACCTGTGTGTGCCTAATTCATTTTTTCCATTTAACTTATTCAAATCATTTATCTTATTATAATATAATAATATAATAATAAAACTCTTCCCCGTCAGTGTGTGTTCAGTATTTATCATCTTGGTTATTTTCTCGTGTGCAGAGCTCCACATAAGTGTTTGTTTCTGTAGTGATTCTGTTATACGTCGCATCTTGGAAAAAAAAGACTGAAATATTTTAAAGGACTCGTCTGAGCAACATCCAGATTTCAGGGCAATTTTGGTTCATAATCGAGTATAAAGTCCTGGATAGTTTGTTTGGACATCGCAGGATCCACACAGACGCATCAGCTGCATTCTCATCTTCATGAGTTTCACTTTCTGAAATTCCGTCGCTGTTTCCACTTTATAATCAACTTCATCATCACTTTGAAATCTATAAAAGTCACTTTCTCTAAACTTATCCATAAAATACGTCCGCTCCTCATTATTTCTAAAACTGCGCCGCAGCGTCGTGATCTTTCTATTGCTCGTGTTTCGTGTTGTGTTTTTTCTGGAAGCTACAATTGTCACTACTTCGATTAATGGCGAAAACATCTCCTTGAATCCTATTGGTCCGTCTAGTGTGGGTTGTAGTGGCCCCGACCAATCACAGTCTCTGTTTAAATGTGAAAAACCGAGTCGTTTCTAATGTTCGTCAAATCACGTCTTTAGTGAAACAGCGGAGGTTTCAAAAGACGTGATTAAGGAAACACGAGGGGTCGTCAAATGTCGTCTTCATGGGGGAAAGAGTTAACGACTCAGGAGCCTTTCCACAACACGACGAGAACAGAGCAGCAGTTAGATCACGTCACTCTGGTTCTGTGGAGGGTTTTTAGGATCTGACCTGAACCAGACCAGGATCTGAGACCTGAACCAGGACCTGAGACCTGAACCAGACCAATAAAAACACTGTTATGAACACCACGATCCCCACAAGCCCCAGCGCAGCCCACAGTCCAGTCAAAGCGTGACCTGGTTGTTCTTCTGGTGGTTCTTGTGTGGATTCAGGAGCAGCTGCAGAGAGAAGGATGAGAAGTTTCAGTTTGACTGCAGAGGAATAATGTGTTCAAGTTTTTACAGTTAGAACAGTGGAGTGGTGTGAGCTCTGACCGGACACAGACAGACGACAGTCGCTGGTCTTTTGGACCTCACTGCCGCGCTGGATGTTGCAGGAGTACAGGCCTGAGTCTCCCAGGAGGAGGGGGGAGATGTGAGTCTTGAACACCCCGTCTCTCAGGGCGGTTACATTGGCTTGGACTCGGCCTCTGAAGTGCTTGTTCTGGTAATCTGTCTCTTCTTTACCATTGTCTTGGTGGAAGAACTCCCTGGATTGGTTCTGTACACAGATGATGTCCACAGGTTTGGAGGCGAATTTAGGAGGGAAGTTAAACTCCAGAGTCACTGAGTCGTTCTCGTGCTTCTTGAAGATGCACGAATCCACGGCACCTTTACACAAACACACAGAGATTATACACATGTACAAATATATGACATATAAATGCAGAGACATAAACATGTTACATTTAGGATTTTGTTTTTCTTCAGAGTCTTTAACACAATCCAGCCCTTTCTGAGTGAGGAGCTGCTCAGGATGAGTGTCAGACTGTCAGGCCTCAGTACTATGAAAATATCAGGAGATAAAAGTCTAACGCTGGATCATCAGGGAAAACTGTGGCTTTCGATACCGATTTCACAAATTAGACTTTAAGTTTCTGAAATTTGATGCACAAATTCTAATTTATTACAGTATTACAGTTTCCCACAGTATCAACAAGTATCAACAGTATCAGTTTCATTACCGTCATTAAAAAACCTGCAGTGCATAAAGACCTGATATAATATTATAATATATTGATACATAAATGTGTTTGTTCAGCACAAATCAAAGTGTGGTTGTATTTTCAGTTTAATGTTTCACGTTTTAAAACTAATAGTGTCTAGAATGTTTCTTTTAACTGTGCGAGGAGATGATGTTCCACAAGACGGTAAGTCCGGCCACAAGAGAGTTGGTCAAAATTTGGACAATGCCCAACTCTGCTCCAGTCCTGTCCCACCCTCGTCTGAACTTTACTCCACACCATGTTGTGACTGAGCGGAGACTGTGGACGTCTCTGATTAAAGACACGAGCTCATCAGAGACACTTTGGTTCATCACGATAAATAAACAATAATCGTTTGTGGGACATTTTATAGAATCGTGAGAATCGCCAACAAAAATAATCTCCATTTTATCAGCAGAATGTGCAGATACTGATCCAGGGTTTTCACTTATAACAAAGTCCAACACTATGACTTGCTTAAATAAACGACTTATTCATAATTGATATTATGATATTATTAAAATAACTTTCATAATTATAATGATATAATCATTAAATGTATTTATTTTGGTCATGATAATCCTGACACTAAACTTCTCTCTGGTCCGGAGCCTTTGCACAGCCTCGTGCTGCGTCCTCCAGCTGTAGGACGAGTGTGTGACACAGGAACAGTAAAGGTGCACTGTTCTCACGACTGCTGTGATATTTTTCACCAGGTGAATTACTCAGCACCGCGAGTATTTACGAAGGGGAAAACTTCACTGGAAAGTAATGAGCAGCTTCACTCAACTGATCAAATTCTTCCAAAATAATTCCACAAACGACTTTAAACTGAAAATCAAAACATCAGGAAGCAACAGGAGGCTAAAGACGATTAACCTGGTCGTCGTACAGGTGCATTCACTCTCTTTGGTTCTATTATATGATAAAACTGTAGATTTTCTCTCTACAGTGATCCACACTTGGATCCACAGGAATAATCATGAGGGTTTGTGCTGTTTGGCTTTGTTTTGTTTGTTGTTGTAGAGCAGATTATCCACATCAGTGTTTTAAAACTGTGCACATTTTAAAATGAACTACACTACACTCCTGAAGTCACATGTGAGATCTGCTGCTGCTGTGGAGGACACACAGTGTCCGACTTTCTGTGCAAAGTCTTTTCTTGTAAAGTTCATCTTCAGGTGGAGTCATTGAGCTTTTATCTTCACTCTTGTCCACACAGAGTTTTACTTTGTCCAGACTTCAGTATTTCAGCGTCTCCTCCAGTCATGTCACTCTTTCCTATGAGCTGCTGTTGAACGTTTTCCTCGTACTTCCCCAAACCGAACAAAACCCCACACGAGGACTGAACACCTGGATGAACGACCGTGAGGCTGGAACATTTCTGCTCGTTTCCATGGAGATGCTTTACACAGAATGTTCAACAGTTTGTCTTTAACTTCTCCATCTTGCATTTATTCTCATAATTTACATTGAAAAATCTCTTAAAAACCTTTTTACCCTGAGCGAGGTCAAATCAACACTAAAACCCACTAAATCTCCATGAATATGAAACACATTTAATGCCACACTGTGGAACATTTCAGACTAAACAATAAAACCTCCCTGACAGTGAGCAGAGGACAGATGTCACAGAGACAAATACTGAATTATTGTTAAACTCACCAGAGAAACACAGAAGAACGAAGAAAAGCACCAGGAGCAACTGAAACTTCAACATCCTCAACGTCCTGCGGGAAAAAAACATGAAAATCTATCAAATATTTGGATATAATCAACATGACAACAGGTTCACAGAAGCGCGTGGGCAGAACGGAGCATTTAAAGACAAAATAACATAAAATATCACAAGTCAGTCAATATTTATCTGT